GGATTGTAAGCAGCTGAAGGGGATTGGGAGTTCTGTTTCCTACGCAATAACTTCTACACGGAACTCTGAATTGCCTAAACGTTTCCTACTTCAAAGTGCCTGCCCAAAGCCAAAGTTAGTGGAAGAATCCAACCTTGAAGGAAAATGAATCGTGATCAAGAAAGAGATTTTTCCTAGTAAGTACAGAGGAACAACTCAGGCTAGATAACAAGGGTGAGCCTTGAAAAAGAAGAATGATCTCATTGACCCTGCCAGACTGCTCAGGTGAAATATTCAGCTGAAGAGTCTCACAAGAGAAGAGAACCCTTGCGAGTGAATGGTGATGATTTAAGTCAAAAGAGGATAAGAAAGTGCTATTATTGCCATTTGGGGAAATGGCTTAAATTTCTTTTTTTTTTTTCCACATCTTTATTGGAGTATAGTTGCTTTACAATGTTGTTAGTTTCTGCTATACAACAAAGTGAATCAGTATACATATATCTCCATATTCCCTCCCTCTTGCCTCTCCCTCTCACCCTCCATATCCCACCCCTCTAGGTGGTCACAAAGCACCGAGCTGATCTCCCTGTGCTATGCAGCTGCTTCCCACTAGCTATCTATTTTACATTTGGTAGTGTGTATATGTCCATGCCACTCTCTCACTTCATCCCAGCTTACCCTTCCCCCTCCCCATGTCCTCAAGTCCTTTCTCTACGTCTGCATCTTTATTCCTGTCCTGCCCCTAGGTTCTTCAGAACCTTTTATTTTTTTTTTTTAGATTCCATATATATGTGTTAGCATACAGTATTCGTTTTTCTCTTTCTGACTTACTTCACTCTGTATGACAGAGCCTAGGTCCATCCACCTCACTACAAATAACTCAATTTTGTTTCTTTTATGGCTGAGTAATATTCCATTGTATATATGTGCCACATCTTCTTTATCCATTCATCTGTCGATGGGCACTTAGGTTGCTTCCATGCCCTGGCTATTGTAAATAGTGCTGCAGTGAACATTGGGGTGCATGTGTCTTTTTGAATTATGGTTTTCTCAGGGTATATGCCCAGTAGTGGGATTGCTGGGTCGTATGGTAGTTCTATTTTTAGTTTTTTAAGGAACCTCCATACTGTTCTCCATAGTGGCTGTATCAATTAAATTTCTTTAAGAATCAAAATACCCACAAATCAGGTACTATGAAAAAAGTGCAGTCATTAAGACACGATATAGAGAAACAAATATAGGTAGTTTTCCTTTTGTGCAAAGGCAACGTGAACGCCAGTACAGAGGAGAAATCAGGAAGGGTTAGTCCATTTCCCCCCCAGGCTTCCTGCCTAAGTTTTAGAAAACCCCTGATCAAAGCTCATGATTAATATAAGTCTACAGAGAATTTCTATACATTCATTTTTTATGTCTAAATTACGCTCATGCACCGTCACACACAGTCAGAATTCTAGGAAAATGTGACACACTGAAAATTCTCTAGGATCAGTAATGTGTAAGTTCCATACATCTCTCAGGAAAAGTCAATTAGAAGAAATATTCGCGTAAAGTTTGTACAATTTGGAGTAATCAGAAAGATGCCATAAGGCATCAGCTTAATTTGGGGGGGGATTAAAAACAAGTACAACTTGAGTTCTCAACATAACTTGTCTTTCAGTAGCTTTAAATGTAGCAAATGAGTTGGGTTTTCATATTTACATTCTGAATGGATTCCTAGGAAGAAAAAAATGATTTCAAGTCTTGGGACTTCCAAAGAAGCAGCAATAACTTATTAATTGTACCCTTGGTGATCTTAAAGTACAGCATGAAAAACAGTCTTAGTGCCTCCAAAGATTCATAAAGTCCTTCCAAGGGGGGCGGGAGGGACAGCAGGAGAATCTAGCTGCAGAAGCATTTCAAAAACGCTATTTCCATGTTGAAGGAAAGGGTTTAATTAATCGTGTTACAGCTGTGAAGTTAATATGCAGATCTGAGGTCCTATCACAAGGGACTGTTACATACTTTTTAAACAAGTCACTCAGTCCCACATTTCCTTCCCTTTTACAGCTCTTGCATAGTAATAAATATATGTCCCACAGGTTTGCAGAATGAGGATCCTGATGTCTGTTAATTTCTCAATAAAGATGATGATGTTGATTGGCAATTCTAAAAACCACTTTTTACTGAAACCTCACAATATGCCAAGATCCTTTCTAAGTTCTTTGTATGAATCATCTTACTTAATTCTTTCAACAATCCAATGAAACTAGTGCTGTGGTCTTCCTCACTTTGCAGAAAAGGAAACTGAGGCTCCAGTAGATTATAAAAGTGCAGGCACTTTTGGTCACCTACCCACAGTCATCCTCAACCTCACCATACATGCACACATTCCCATTTCCTTCAAGTTCTGGAAGGTCTGGGGAGAATCAGGACCTTCAAGACCACAGTGACAAAAGTATGATGCCAAGCTGATGGGCAGATAACAGCAAAGGGAAAAACCTGAAGGGTGTGATCAAGAGTCCCCATAATAGGCCAGACGTATGATTGCTCACGGCCAGGCGAGTACACTATTAGTTAACGAGAATGGCTCAGTAGTGCCTGTCATTGGAATAACACACGAATCCATAGAGATGTTGTGGAAATTAATCTGAATCCGGTCTTTTGAGAAAGATTCACCATTTTAGAATGGACCTTTTGGGCAAAAATCAAAGTAGAGGGAGGCTTCTATTAATCTATCCAAGTGGGTAATTCCAAGAAATGCCTTCATGAACTAGCAGGAGATAGAGGGCTCTAGAAAGTTAGTATATAAACTAGCACACGCGGACGAGGAATATCTTATGAAACGGGGTACAACCTGGAAAAAATGGCAGAGGTGCTTGGGTTTATCAAGGGTCCTTAACACTGCTCTAGTTTTCAGAATAGATTCCCTACAGGCTGGAATTGAGGCTTCCCTGTGGCTAGCCAAGGAGAGGTTACCAGCCTTTGAAACAGTAAATAGAGACCAAGAGCATCTCTTTAGGATGCTCCTTTTGGAGTCATCTATCCTATCTATGGTCTAGAATACTTGGTTGACTGCTTAATGGCATTTGAACGGGTAATAAAATGAGTAACTGGGACCACTATACCCATTTTTTTTAACCTTGAACCCAAAGAAACGAGGAAAAAAAAATCCTTGACATGCACATTGATATTAGAAAAGCAGTTACAAGAAACAGTTCACAAAGGTTAACTTGAGCCATGGAGGGAAATCAGCCTTTGGGGGAACAAATCAATGCTACCATTATTATAGTTTTTAAAAATTAAAAAAAATCACATCACAGGATTATTTTGCAGCTTACCTGAGTTACCATATTTGGTAACAATGCGAAACACCAAACAAACCCTGATTACTATCTTTACTGGAGAAGCTGGTCCTGTTTTTATATTTCTCAGAGACTTTCCGGGTTCAGTACTTTGCCTAAGGGCCCATAGTTTATAAGCACTAAAGACAAGATTTGAATCCAAGACTTATGATTTGAAATTCAGTCCTCTTTCAACACACTATGATGCCAATTCCATGGAACAAATTTCCTCTGCCAATTAATAGAGAAAGAGATAAAAGATGATTTCCATCCAGTGAAATAAAAGTATGACTTAAAATGACCAATCAAATCACGAATTACAAAATGCTATGGGTTGAAAAATGCTATGCTTAACTTATTATCCATAATTATTTTATTCATAAAATTGCATTTTAAAATTACTTTATAATCTGCATGTTACAGATGATAACTGGGCACTGATTTAAGCGCTTTCTTCTGTCTTAGAAATTAGGTAGAGGTAAAGGTAGATGTTGGTGCATTTGTATGTAACTCAGAAATGTCATCTCTGGTTCCTGAATACATTTGCCAATGTGAGAAAATGATGACAAGTTCTAATTATAAAGTTATTAGAGTGTAGAACAAAGAGTAACCACCTCTGGAGGTTCTGGAGAAAACGCTTCAGGGATATTTGCTACTTGGCTAAATCGAAAATTCTTTGTTAGCGTATGGACTTCAGTGGAGCCTAACAATTCTAAAAGTCTCTGTGTTGGTCAAGGCAAATTTTTCTGAGATCTAAACCACAAATGCTACTTAAAGAAAATTTGAGACTATCATACAACAATAGAATGTTTGCACAAATATAGTTGATAACAAGAAATCTAAAAGATAGTTTACAGCTTTCTTATTCTTTTTGGAATTATACTGTTAGGTTTCTTCTCTACGATTTCAAGTGGGAACTGTGCTGGTTTATGAGAAAAATGCTTAAGAAACATAACTAGAAACTTAACTAGAAACTTAACCCAAGATGCTCTTCCATTTGGATGGTAATCAAAAGATGATTCTGCAAGAGTCATAATGAAAATTATGTGCTTTGCTGACACGAGTTCTAGACAGACAGAAATAATATTCGTATCACGTTGCATCAAGACAATTCTTTTCTGATCAGGATTTCACAATAGGAATCACTGCACTGATGTATGTAGTTGTCAGTAAACGTATGCTCCATTTACTATAATGAGGATTTCCTTCTCTGACAAACTTTATTTTTCCAGAATTAATATTCAAGCAAAGATAGCAATTTGCTATTCATATTCGTTACATTTACATCTTAGTCAATCCCTTTTCCCATTTCAAACACAAGAATGTTCAAAGCCATTTTGCACTTAACATATGGGGCTGTGGTCACTGGGACATTAGGCCTTTTTAAACTGGACATGAGGATACACTGGTAGCTGAGTTCCACGACAGCTTAACAAACTAAATCATAAGGCCATTGTTTCAGAGTTTCATTGTATTAACATGTTCCCAAGGTTATTCTTTCTAATGGTACCCAAACTCTTTTTTGATTAGTATCCCATTTGTAATGTTGCTTAGATTACTATATATCCTTAGTATTCCATTTGTAATGTTGCTTAGATTACTGTATACATATATATATTAGTATTCCATTTGTAATGTTACTTAGATTATTTATTAGTGTATTCTTTTTAAAAGTGTACTTTAAAAGCATGATGGACTTACCTTAGAGAGCCCACCTACTTCCAAATAGAAGCAGATAATGAAAACATTCCAGGTGACCCAGAGGGCAGTCCATATTGTATACTGGAAAGAAAGGGTGGGGGAAGGAAAGAGAAGAAAAATGTGGAGATGAAAGGCATGCATACTAAATAAATCGATAATAAAAATGTCAATAAGTGTGTCTTCTGGGAAGAAACAGGGCACGCTCAGAAAAGAGTGCTCCTTATGCGGTCCCCTAAGATCTCTAGAAATTAAAAATCCAATAGTTTCTACTGCTTTAAGTAGATGCCAATAAAACTAGATTTATTCTTACAGTGCTTTGCCTGCTTGCAGTTGCAAGTTAAATCCAAGCGCTGATTTGGTTTGTTTTCTGACTACCAGCTTTTCCAAGGGACACAATTATGCAAATTTTCTGGGGGCTATCTACCTAGCTAGCTAGCTAGCTATCTTTTAGTTACAGTAAATCATCAAAGGTTTAGGAATGTTAGTCAAAACGCTTCACTTCCACATCCCTGAATGAGGATCATGTTTGAAAATGGATTTATGGAGTAAAATTAACAACCTTTCAACTGTTGGACTATTTTATTGAGTGGAGTGTATGCCCCTACTATCATGATAGAATATTATGTGATTATGTAAAATAATTTTTAAAAGCACACCAGTTCTAATTATGGTAGGATTAATAAGTAAATCCTACTTATTAATAAGTAGGATTAAGAGTGAGCAAATAAGCAACATATTTCCATAATGGGAAAATACCTTCCAATCACAACCAAAAAACTCTAAACATGCCAGCCTTATTGATTAATTGGTTTTATTAATGTATTATGTATTAGGAAATGCCTTCCTCAAGAGTATTAGTCAGACTGAATTAAGGTAGCCTTAGATCAAGACTCATCAACAGAGAAGTCTTAGGGCTCTATTCATCCGGTCACTTTCTTAGGCAGACAAAGACACTGAGGTCTGGAAAGCTGACATATAGGATGGCTGGGATGGCTCAGGATGGAACTTACCATGGCAACACAATGAGCAGATCAAATACAATGGTTTGCTCATTCATTTTACTGTACTGCAAAAATCTATGAATTCGTAACTTCTTAAACTGGCATACTAATTAAATTATTGCTTTCTATTGTTAAATTAAGATAAATGTTGAAATAACTTATTAGCTACTGTTAAATTAAGACAAATATTGAAATAATTTATTAGCTTCTTCTATGCTCTGCCAAATAACAGACTTATGAATTTTAGACACTGTATAAAATAGCCAGGATCTTATTACAAACCTTATCAGAAGCTTTTCAACTTTTTCTAAAATTCAATTTACATTTTGTATCTTTGTCATTTATGATTTTTTTAAAGAATAATACATTAAAAAAAAAGAATAATACATTTATAATAATGAGTTAAGGCTCCAAAATCACTGGAAATTTAGAGGAGTTGGAAAATATGTTAAAAAGTTAACACAGGTTAAAATATATATTTAGGCTTTTGGTTGTTGCCGACATTGTTGACCTGATACCTTCCGCTGGCAAAGCCTTCTAGTGTGAGTGGGTTTAGATGTTTCCTTAAAAATGCACCAGATGCATTCCTCTGAACCACAAAATATCCCCATGAATATTGAAAACAGCTAATCTACATTCTCAATGTTTACTTTTTGCAAACTGATAAAGTCACAATAACCACAACACATTTTAAAGATGCTGCTAATCAGATGGCATCTAGGATCCGATATTTTTCATTCTAAATAAATATAATTATGGGTATATTTGAGTGACAGAGTTGTGCAGACCACTCATTCAGGAGGAAAAAGCCAGTGATAAAGGTTAAGGGAAGGACATAAAATAAAGCAAGACTAAAGTAAGAAAATGAACTGAATTTTCTTACTTTGAAAAGTAAGACCACATGATTCTTCATTATTAGGACTGCAAGCCTAAACCCGTAAGTATTCCTTTAGAAAAGTAAATCAACTCATAGTTACAAAAAATACATAATAAAAAATTCTACTTAAAATCATAGCACAAGCTTAGTGATTGAAGTGTATTCTGATCCCTCACAAGTTGTACTATTGATGACACTTTCAAACATTCAAAGATAAAATGATCAGGCTGAGTAGATTCCAACCCTCAGCTCCGAAATTCCTAACAAGAGTCACTCCGCTGCTTTCTGCATTCCTGGTACTGTGATAAGCACTTTACACAGATTAAGTCATCTAGCCATCACATTAATACCAAGGTAGAGAGGAAATCATCTGATCACCCAGTTAGTGTCAGAGTTGGGATAGGCGCTCGGGCAGTTTGACTCCAGAGCTGGGGTGCTTGGGCATTACATGACAGTCTTCATTTTAAAAGATCTTAGGAAAAGGACTACAGATTAATTTGCAAGTTAACACTTCCCCCAATTCTGCAATTTATTAAATAACCAATTCACCAGATTACCAGTTTACCAAAAATTCATTCATATATATTCTATAACTGGTTATGTTTTTGAAATGATTTCTTCTGTATTTTGCTATTAATGTGTCCTGTGTTATATAAATACGTAGTTTTTTAAAAAGCAATATTGTAATTTTCTTTATTCTAATACACTGGTTTGTTGAGAACAAAGGATACCTGTACAGTTGAATTTTGGACTGTTATGAGATGGAAACCATATACCTCAATGTGCACCTGAGACTCAAGTCTGCACGCAGAGGTAAGAGGAAAGGATTTCTAGCAACACGAATAACACATCCAAAGGAACTTTTCCTAAGCAGAAAGTATTAGAACCACATATGGTATAAGACACTGGCTATCCTCCCTCTCTTCTTTTTGACGTGGGTTAATTTATTTATAATGCAGCTGAAACTAGAATAAAAAAAAGAGACAAACTACATTTTTAACAAATACCTTTTGGTTATCATGGAGTATGCCTACAAGCTCAGACAGCCACATAGATATACTTGAAGTATAGAAGACTTAACTTCTCAAAGTAAAAAAAAAAAAATCACTCTGTATAATTATCTATCCATCTGTTTACCCATCATCTATCTATCTAATCTATCAACCTATTTATCTATCCTACTTTGCTTATGTTCAGTACACATATTTTAAATCCTAATTTAATTAGACAATGCCCATAGATATGGAAAAACATCTATGTGTTCTCTGTGGCTTCCTGGATATTGCATAGTTTTATGAAGTATTTTTTAATTGAAATGAACTTTAGCAGTCTCCCAGCCTATTTCTTTCTCATAGAGCAATTAGTCCATAACATAAATTATTTTTACTTCCTGAGCTTGTTTGTTTTCCAGTTACCAGGAAGGCCACTCATTCATTCATTCATTCACATGTGTATCAATCAGATACAATATTATACTCAATATGTTAGATTCACTCAAAAAAAAAGTAGTTTCCTTGCTCACCCATTGTTCTAATAGTTTCTGGAGTTTAGTATTCATGTCCAGGGGGAAATAAATCTGAGACCACTGAATGGAAACCTAACACTCTTAACTGCCATGTTGAGCAGTAACTCTGGAGGGAGATTTATGATGACATAGTAGGGATATTTCCCTGTATAACAATTCAAATGAAAGCAAGTTGCAGTTCTTTGGATGTGGACATTTGTATAAAAGTCCAAATAACTAACGTATGGGCCTAGCATACTTACTTGGCTTTCTTCTTTTAATTTTTAAAGGAAGCTTTGAGTTACTTTTAATTCCAATGTTAATCTTTATTCAAAACTGTCAAGTGAGTTAATATTTCTGCATTTAAATGAATGTAAAACCGCTTGATTAAATTATTATCCATGAAATGATAAAGATTTTAATAATTGTAGAGCAGAATCTCTTTCTAGAATTCATAAGTAAGATTTTAAAATATTTGACATAGGAGCAAAGCAGACAGGAGTCAACAGCTGATTCCAGAACAGTGCTTTTTATGACTGTTAAATATGACTTAGCCCCCACTCTGCTTCATTTTGTCTACAGCCAAGGAAACACAAAAGTGCATTCAAATGCTATGATTACACTTGGCATCCCTAATGTATACATCCCACCTTGTACCTTAGCTAAAATAAATTTTAATCAGCGAAAGAGTATCCTATGACAAAGTTGGTTTTATCTTCTAAAAATAAATGTAGAAGTAGTAAACTGTACCTTCTCAGCAGTGATGGTAACCAAAGGGGAATTATCTCTCTTTCATTTTGTGATTTGGGTGAATTTTTCTAACAGTCTTTGCAATGGGACCTCCTCAAGACAGTGTCAGGGGCCCACAATGTTATATTTATTAGAAAAAAAATAAGTCAAGGAATAAGTCAGCTAATGGTAGGTGCAGGCAGAGCAGCACATACTATTTTATCTTATAAATCCTGGTGTTCAGATTGAAAGAAGCAAGGCAGTAAGGCCAGCTTCTTTTGCAGAACTATTGTTGCCATGTTCTGAGATAAGAAATCACCGTCTAGTCCATCCAGTAAAATAATTTCATCCAATAACCTTTCATTAATTTATTATTTGTTTAATCAAGTATTAAGCATCTCTAAAGGCCCATGCACATCAGGCTAACTTAGAATACAGCCATGGACAGGCATCGTCTGCCTGCCAGGAGGACACTGTTTTTTTGTAAATTTTTATTGGAGCATAGCAGCTTTACAATGCTGTGTTAGTTTCGACTGTACAGCAAAGTGAATCAGCTATACGTATACATATACAGGAGGGCACTGTTGAATGAGATGAGATGGGCCTGGAAGCAAGGACGGCAACCGTGTAGACAGATAGGATAGAGTTACCAGGATCTATGGGTGCAGAGAGGCAGAGGCACTTAGCCTGGAGGGGGGATGGCCAGAGAAGGCTCTTACAGGTGACTATTCAGTTGAAGAATTATTAAGATTTTTCCAAATGGGTAAGGAGAATAGGGTGCTCCAGAGAGCAAGTGCAGTGTATATCAACCAAGGAGGCAAGAAACAGCACGTGGTCTTTGGAAAACACGAATCAGTCAGCACGTCTGGCACGAGGTGGGAAGGCAGGGGATGCGAGAGAGAGAAGTAACGAGCAGTTTTTGTAAGCTCTGATTTCCACCCTAAGGAGTCTGAAATTTGCCTGTAGACACTGGAGAGCTTGCTCTACGCGCCCCTTTACCTTAACCATTTTCATAAGGGTGATCAATTCTTTAAATTCAGCCGTGACAAACCCTGTTTGTTTTAAGAAATGGCAGGACCCTACCCTCTGTGTCTTGGTGCTCCAAAATGTCTGCTGGCTTGAAATGGATTCTGTTTAATTGGCACTGCTGGTGACTGTTTCAGCCAATAATGGAGGCCAAGTTCGAGAGAAAAATCTCCTACAGTCAGAAATCTCTTTCCCGCTCAGTGCCGTTGAGAAGTGGGTGCCTTGGAGGCAGCCCTTGATTAGTGTGACATAGGCCATATTCATTTCCAGGCTTTTTCATACCAGAATTAATTGGAATTAATTAATTGGTGGCCTGGAGACCACCAATTGTGGCTTCGAACCAAAGTATTCATGAAAACAGCTCAGGGATGAGCTACTCGTGGTGTGATAAAGGTAATGTGTAGTAGTCACTTTCCCCATAACTAGGCACCCTTGATAATCTTCCCATTAAAGGTGCCCTCTGTGAACAGATTTCCCATACGCATTGACTAACGATTCTTCAGCATTTCTCCCCAATAGATACTTTATACCCATGTTAGAATAAGAGTTCATCTGGAATCCCACATAGGTAACAACATTCTATGATCAGCTAAGGAGGTAAGGCAGGATTGTTTCCAATGTCAAATCTTATATCGACAGTGGCAGCACATCATCTGGAATGTGATAGTGGAAGCAGAGCATAGATCGTGATAACGCAACTCCAGAAACCTAACGATAGCATCCATCTCTGCCATTTACTCTCTGGGTTCCTTGGATACGTCACTTAACCTCTCCTTAACTCTTGCCTCATCTGTAAAATTAGGGATGCTAATACACACCCATAGGACACTTGTGAAGGTGAAACCAAATGACATGTTGGCATGGACCGCTTTCCTGGCAATTCATTGTTTCCTTTCTCTCCCCTTCCTGGGAGAGGGTCTCGAATGAGAGAGTAAATAAAACAATAGGGATTTGGTTGGCGTACACACCAAGAGAAAATCAAGATGAGCAAAAACGTAGATTGTTTGTCTTACAGACATTTTTCTTTGAAGATTCTGAAAGACCTACATCTTCCTCCTTCAACATGAAGGAGGGAGAAGCGAGAGAAGGAAGTGAGGAAAAGATACCGGACAAAGAAGTGACCCCAGTCCTATCGCAAGAGGACGCTAGGAACCCACAGGGAACTAGATGGGGAAAACAATAGGTATTTATTGAGCACCTATGACATTGCATGTTCGCATGCAGGTCCTCAGTGAATGCTTAACGAGGGAATGGGACCTACTGCTATCGACATCCTACTGTGTGCCCTGTGGTGCTTCCTGCCCAGAACCCGCTTCGGTCCCCTCTACCCTGGTGAACTCACACTCACACTGCAGATCTCAGCTCCACAGTCACACCTGCAGGCTCAGAGGGGTCCCTCCAGGATACATCTACTGCAGGCTCAGAGGGACCCTCCAGGATACATCTACTGGCACAACGTGCTCCTTTTTAACACTTGTGACAGTTGCAATCTAATGTTTATGTGGATGATTATCTGATAAAACCCACTTGCCCTCCCTAGACTGTAAGGTAAGTACCCAGGAGGACAGAAAACACGTCTGTCTGTATTTGCTCACCTTGTTCCCCGCACTGAACACAATGCCACGCACAGTGTAGAAACCCAATAAATAGGAATGAATATGTAAAAGAAAAACGCAAGGAAGAAAGTTAAGACAAAACAGATATCGGGGAAGAAGGAGGGGGAGAAAGGAAGGAAGGAAGTAGGGATTGTGAGACCAGTTTGGTCAGGTGGGGCAGCCGAGAATATTCTTAGATTTTATCCTGCTAACGAGTTAGCGAAGGGTTTCAACCCAGCGATTTAGAAAAAGTACAAGGGACACGTTAACAGGGAGGAAGCCGAAGGCAAGCAGGAAGTCCATGTGCAGGAAAGAGACTGCAAAGCCTCGACCAAGGCAGGAGCTGCGTGAAGAGTGTGTAGAGCTCATGTGGAGAGGATAGAAGCACTAGGACTAGTACGTCACTGACGTGTACAGACAGCTTCATCCCATAGAGGCCACTGGCTGCACAGTCACCTGGCATTTTGTGCTTCAGCAGAAAACAACATCACACAATGACAAGCCTGTACTAAGTCCAAGTGCTCTGTGTTCAAGCAACAAACTAGAACATAGAATCCAATAATAGTTTGCTATTATGCATATTAAAGTCTCTTGAGCTGCAAGTCCACGTCTGTGAAACGCCTTTTTAATAGATCACACAGTGGCTTAGCAGAGGCTATCTTTCAGGGAAGAAGAGGAAAGCAGGGACTGTTTAGCCCCTGCAGTCAGCTGAGTGACAGAAATGTTCCAGGGTGCCTGGAGCAGCAATTTTGAGGGCAGAGTCTATGCTGTGGGCTGGTTACCTTCACCTCTGTGTGATATGATGAAAGATACGCAAAAGCCAATTTTGAGATGCAAACAGAGAATTGAGGCACTTATAGAAAAATGTATAACTTTTTTCTTTTTGATAGGTGACTGGATTAAACCAAAATGCAAAGATGGCATATTTTTAAGTCTATAGTTTTCTTCTAGTGAGGCAATCATCGCATTGCAAGAAAATATTTACTAATTCTACTGAACATGGTATATTTTTTCAGGCTCAATGAGCATTTTAGAGTATGTCACCCCTCATTACAGTTCCTTATACATGCTTGGTATTTCTGACAACCTTCTTATACATGTAGCCCAAAATATTCCCCTCTTTTTACACTGAAGAAATCTATTACTGGAAATAACTTCCAGTCAGTTGCGGAGCACAGAATATCCCTTATTAAATTTCCCTACAATGGAGGGTGTGTTGCCATGTATGTCATAGTTTGGAGTATGGATTTATGTTTCAAATTTATCTTACCAAAGTGGAGAAATGTTCGGTAATATACAGTATGCAATATCTTAAAGGGTGAGTACTAAATAAATGCACATGCATTTGTAATGTCTTATGTCCATTAAAATTAAATTGTATTATTGCTATCAGTTAGTAAACAGTTATGGCTAGGTCGGTTTGCTTTTTAGGGTTAGTGACATATGCCATTGACATGATAGTTAATGTACATTTATATCTCATCTAACATCAAGACCACAACCAGTCCTACTCCATCCAAACCACATCTTAAATTTCCTTGTGAAACTTGATTTCAATGACACTGTGAGTCTCACTATGCATCTCCCACTTACAGTCACGTTGCTTTCCTCTCATTGTAAACATTCACTGAGTCTTCTTTCTGCCAGGTAATCATCTCTCAACAGAATTCAGTAATGAAGGCCAGAATGGCCAAGCCACGTTATATCAAAGGGAACAACTTAAATGATTTATTTCCTTCTTCTCCTAACATTTTTCAGTGTTTATATGAAAAGACATGGTAACAAAAAGACTTACCACCACGATATAGCGAGGTCTGTACTGAATGGTTCCAAACAGACCCAATATGACGACTATTATATGTAGAAAATTTCCAAGGATGGGCGCCCACTGGAAGCCGAGGAAGTCAAAGATCTGCCTCTCTAATGCTGAGAGCTGCAACAAAGCAGAGAGAGCCCATGAGCATCTAACCCAAGCACCAGCAGACCATTTTAATCTCGGTTTCACAGCTGGAGAAGGCTGCAGTCAATTTGAATCGCAGTTACGGACACCATCATCATGTACTGCTTTACGCAACTTCTCTCAGAAAATATACTAAGATAACTTTGAGTGTTATGACTTCAAGTGTTCATAGACTTGGAGAGCTAGAGATATACTCCTGAAATCATTTTCTATAGTAGCAAATCCAGGCAACATTTTATGATACCATATTTTCTCATATTAACTTATCATTATTTTTAGTAAATTATTGGCTTAGTATAACCTACTCAGAACAGTATCTCCAGGCTTGCAATGCTAGGACTATTATTATTTTGGAAAAAACCAAAAACAATAACAAAAGCTACCCATCTGTGCCTTCCTGTGTGAAACATGAATTATCAAATCTTCTGTTCTTTTTTTCCTTTCTTTAGATTGTCATCGATTATAATGACTAACCACTTTTTCAAAATGAAGCTTATTTACTTACTCTGGGCTTACTTACTTACTTACATTAATGATAATAACTCCTTTTTCAAAATGAGCTTACTTATTTCCTGTAGTCCTGATCTAAAACTAGAGTTACATACTTCCTTTGAACCATATTTTATTGAGATAATATATTAAAATGAATTTTATACAGTCCAGTGAATGCCAACAATGTCATTACCATGTACTAATGATATTTATTGCATTTTATATCTAAAAATTTTATAATTTTGCCTGCTGTATTTGGACACAAATCTTACATGTTTCAAGCATTTTTCTACATTTACTTTGAGAAACTAGTATTTCTAAGAAAATGATCCCACGATTAACCATACTGCCAGCAAAAGAAACTGCAGATTGGAAATGAAAATGGTACCCTAGGTATTTTTCTAGTTATGTGGCAGGTGTAGGCCTGAATAGCTTTAATTTCCTTGGACATAAAGAAATGTCCTCTATCCAGTAAGCTGAATTTACCTTGGTTTAGATTCACCTTCAGTAAGTTGTGGAGGAGAAGAGAAACGAGCAAATACCTAAAGACACCCACTCCGACCCACATTCATTTCATGGGTATTTCCTGATCCTCAAGTGATTTGTCACCATTCCCTGCACTCACAAAGTGGGAGATGCACAGAAAGGGCTAAAACACAAAATAACCAGAGCAAGGTAAGAAGCAGCACACTGTTTTCAACCCCCTGTTTCTCTCTGCTTGTGACTCTAATTAGTTCCCAGGAACCTTTCCCTAAAAACACAGCATTTTATTTATTGGTCCATCAGTGATGTACATATGCAGTTTTTTATGTCCAACAGGATGGATGTGCTCAGAAAAAACCAAAACGTCCTGAAGAGCAGCTGTGGGCAATTCATCCTGAAAAGCAACCCTATTTTAAAGCTGTCGTGCATCACAAAAACCTTTAAAGTGAACGTTTCAAAGAGAGGAAACCCCATTTTCTTTTCTGTCAGAAGATGCATGGATAGCATTCTCCTTTATGATATTAAAGAAAACACACACGAATTAACACCACTGATTAGAAAATCTGCAGTCTTTATTGGAGACACCCCGTCTCCCTACTTATTGATATTCATTTTCTGATAACTTAAAATGGATTTACAGTGACTTGAAATAAAAGCACAAATAAAAGGCCATAAACAAACAACAAACAGATGTGGAAGAGACCATATCAAGGGTCAGGCAAGAGGCAGCTAAAACAACTATACAAACCATGAAAGCTAGATTTGAGTACTGTATTTTAAAAAGTCAGCTAACAATGACAAAGGCCCTTCAAAAGTAAACAAATTACCATTGCATTTGGTATTAATTGCTTTATCTAATTTCCACTTTCAGCTATTAAGTCATTTCGTTTAGAGGCAAATATATTCTCTCTCAATGTCATCATTAGCGATACCACTTTTTGCCTTGGAGCTTGATATTAATAATGATGACCCAGAGCCACAGAATGAAATTAAATAATATCCAGGTTGCTTTGTTAACTCAAAAAACAGTATGAATATATTTTAAAAACATCTCTGTCAAAATGGTCTCATCAGTGATGTGCTCGAGCTGCTGCAGCTAGCCGGGGAGCATGGACCAGGTGCATTTCTTTCCAACTCCACAGTCAGTGACTTCAAGTTTTGGGAACTTGACATTGGCCATTATATTTACAACACGGACATCAGGAAATGCTAAAAAAAAAACCAAGGTCTTGTTTATCTGTTATGAGAGCCTATGGTAAAATATTTATCTCTACACCACTGAATACGGCACCTAGAAAATAGTGCTTCTAATTCAGGAGAGCAGTGAAAGGCGGAGTGATCAAATGTGTGATGCGGCGTCAAAAGGAAACATCTGGTCCAGATGAAAGCAGAGGATGGAGGGCTCTGCGGAGACGCCATAGCAAAGACGACAATGAAGGAGACATTGGGAGAACTCGAGGTTTAAATAAAGGGAGAGAGTTCAAGAAAACAAAAAGGCAAGGAGACACTCAGAGAAAGCAAAATTAACCTGTCACCAGTTTAAAACAGAACAGGAAGCAGTGGCCTAAAGAACAATAGGATCATTTCCAAGTAAAAGGTCAAGTAGGTAAGACTCTGGGAGTTATAAGAATATGATGGAAAAGAATATGTATCTTTTCCTAACAAGTTAAAAAACGAAGGCAACCAGAATTTTAATAAAAAGGAAGAGTAGAAGGGAGAAGAAGGAAGGAAGGAAGGAAAGAAGGGAGGGAGGAGGGAGGGAGGGAGGGAGGCAGGAAGGAAGGAAGGGAGGGAGGGAGGGAGGAAGGGAGGGAGGGAGGAAGGAAGGAAGGAAGGAAGGGAGGGAGGAAGGGAGGGAGGGAGGAAGGAAGGGAGGAGACCAAATCATTGATGCAAGGAAAGTATGGTTCAAAAATACTAACAAAAAAAATACTAACAAAATTAAAATTGGGCATGACTTTGAATGTAAATATGAAGAGGCCATTGAAACATTCTCCCTGAGTGGCATGGGGCTGGCAACACTGGAACGGTAAGGACAGAAATGTAACCCTAGATCATACTAGGGCTGCATGAAAATTATCCCACACTCATTGTAACGGGAATGTTGCTTATTGGCTTGTAACTTTCAGAATCCAATTGTAGAAAGCTTGGAAATCTTCATTATGATTATGGAACAAAATGTAAGTATAATCTGACCATATAAAGCATATCTAACAGAACTTGGGAGAGACTGAATGTTCTATATAAATTCATGAGTATGGCAAGGGAAAGGGGGAGTGTTCTCAAATTCTTCCTGGAGGGTCAGGCATTTCCTTTTATCAGGCTCCAAGGTGAAAATATTTCTTATAAATATATGAATCATTAACTACATCCTATATTAACCACACATACTCCCAAGAGCTCAAGAAGTGTCCCTATTTCCTTAGTACGCCCAAGCAACATAGATAGAGACAAACAGGGGCACCTTTAAAATGCAGTAACTTTCTTATCGATCCATATATTATGTTTAATGCTTCACACAGTGTTTTGCCTAAAAGCTCATAATGATTACAAATGGTGAAAATTTATTTACACTTAATTAAAGAGCTATAAAAACTCTAGGTGACCAAACATGTTCCTGGTCATTTACTTAGGTTGGATCTACACAATATGCTTCTGCCCAAACAAAAGCTGGGTAAGAATGCTCATTCCTAAGCAGTGAGTACTCCTGGAGGTTGAACTTCACCGTGACCTGCCTTTTCCTTCCATTCCCCTGGGACTTTCCTTGGCTCACTAGAATCGGACACAATTAAAAAAGATCAAAACAGGGTTACTCACGTTAGTGGAATCGTAGGAAAGTATTTGATCAAACCATGGTTTCCTAAAAGACTGTGAAATTAAAGCATACTGTGTGACTGATACTCTTCTATAGAACCTGTACTCTAGGAATTCATGAGGTAAGTATTTTATAACCATGAAGGACTGAATCTTTCCTTAAAGAGGGAATTTAAAAGCTCTAACATTCCTACTGGCTAAATTGATACATCCCAGGTCATTTCAAATAACTTTTGGGTATTAGAGGAGGTTTCTTTATGCCTGGAAAGTTCGTGTAGCCCTCAGCTCTGCCACCATCATCCTTGCTTCATTTGCTCTAGCATCTCATAGCTACTCAATCCCAGCGGACTTTTCAAGCTTGCGGTCGATGATGCCAAACTTCCGTGTTCATAGACCTAGCCTAGGCCAAATTACGACCTTGGATTTTAAGCCATAATTCGTGAATATTTTTTCACGGCTCTAAAAAAATAAACAGAAGCATCAGTAGCCTTTGTATCAGGAGCCTACTCATAGAGATGTGACACGAAAAGTCCTAATAACTTGCAGATCTACCACTGCATTAAAGCAGGTGCTATTTTAGAGAAGTTTCTCTTGTCTATAGACAGAGATAACCAAGCCTTAGGGTGTTCACAGACTTCGATGGATCCAGGAATTCTAGATATGGCCTGTTCGTGATTTGGTTTATCCAGTAAAGATAGCCATTGTGTTAAGGGCTTCACAGTTTCTGCATGGTTTTGTACTATTTTTGGTAGCAGTGTTAGAAGGCAAAGTCTATTATTCCAGTGAAACCAGTAACCAATCATTTAGTGAAATGAATAAAGTCTAACTAATCAAGTGTAACAGACCCTCCCCAATGGCCTGAATGACCACGAGTGCATAGCTGGGGAAGGTGGAACCATAGGGTTTGGAGGAGTATTTTCCTTGATGCCAAGCGCGATTGTTGGAGTTTCTTCCTTGAATTAGCTTTACTCAGCAATTGTCTCCAGAGCATCTGAAAAGGCTTCTTGAATTCTGTCTATGTATTTTGAGTCCCTGTATTTCAAGGAAATTGAATGGGCACTTCCTATCCTTACAATTCAATCAGGAGGATAGAAGCTACTTGGTCATGTAAACAATTTTTGGAAATCAGAAAACAGTCACATGTTGTGATGCTAACTATTTTTTGAAGAAATAAGGAGCTGTGG